CGCTATGGGGAGAAAATAAGTCATTATTATGAGAAGGTTTCTAGAAATAATGGCTTGTTTTCTCAAAATAATTACTTATTTTCTCATAATTATGAGAAACTTTCTCATAATAATGACTTAACATCTCATAATAATGAGAAACTTTCTCATAATAATTACTTATTTTCTCATAATAATGACTTAGTTTCTCATAATAATGACTTTATTATGAAAAAAAAATACTTAGTCGACGCATGCGCAACGCAAGAGTGACAGCACGCTATTCGTGCCCTTTCTTGTGCTGGTTTAAGCCCCGTTCACCTTGGGCACCACTCCACTTAGGTATCCTAGGATACCTACTTTAACAGGGTGTGGCCACTAGAGGTCTGTTGAGACAGTTCCTTTCAGAGCTTATGCAAGAGCAAGCGGTAGCCCCTGTGTGACAGGCCAAGACTTAGTGTGAAACTAGGTTCTTGGTCGTATCCCCTTAAAGGAATCCATTATGATTCCAAGCCTTGAGCTCTACCCGGGCCCAGGAGTCTGGCCCTAACAGGTAAGTTGGGTATGTAGCCTAGGCCTTTGGCCGTAGGGGATAAAGTCACGGACAGCCGTCTGACATCCCAGGGGCAACTCACCATGAAAATGGTAAAGTTGGTACTTAGTGCTCGCCATGATTCTGGCCCGCACTCCCCTCAGCATGGCGGCGTGGGTTTATTGTTCCCCATAGCGACCCCTAGAGGATGCAGTTCGAAGTTCCCTTGAAAGGGAACGTCTCAGGTTACTTATGTAACCATGGTTCCCTGAGTAGGGAACGAGACACTGCGTCCTCTAGGCATCCTGCCATGCTTCGAACACAAGCTTCAGACGAAGAAGTGAATGACATATCATCATTTGGACTGCTTTTGGTACCACTTTTGACATTTTCTCAATAAATAAATTGTGATTACACTTGTTTGTTTGTTATGTTTTTCATACTGTGGGAATAGCGGCTCAAAATATCTTCTTAATGCTATATTGTTACTAAAATTGTCATTTTCGTACACATTTCTGTCCATTATGTTTTATATATTATTTTTATGTTCTCTTTATAATGGTTATGTTTGGGTTTCAAGGATGTATTTATAGAGGATAGAACATTTAGTGGTAAAAGGGAAATTATACAGATATTTTATGATACATACATTTTAGCTGATACATACATTATAACATTGTTTTAGCTGGAAAAACATAATAATGTTCATGTTTCAATGTTGCCAATATGTCCATATTGTACATTTCAGCATCAGTCCGAACAAACAAAAAGTATTGTGTCTGTAAAAGTTACCTATTAACAGTAAGTTAATCCACCACTCAAGTAGAAGTAACCACTCAATAAGTGCCATAATTAAGTCAAGTCACCTTTATTTGTATAGCGCTTTATACAATACTGATTGTGTCAAAGCTGGAAAATAATACATAATACATAAAATAATATATAATACATAATTAATATCTACATAATAAATGTGGATATAACTTTCACTTTAGAACAGGGGGTCAAATTGCCTTTTTTAGTACTGTATTAATAGCAGTTGAGTCATAATTATTGGCTTATTCTGGTTAATAAACTTAAATATCACTCAATAAGTGCCACTCAATAATTGTAAACAAGTTAAGGTTAAAATAGAGAAAATGGGTTTAAATTCCAATGCAAAGAGTCAAATTAGAGTCATTTTGTGGTCGGAAAAAAAATCACTTTTATTTGTAATGATATGGTTTACCCACTATGGCTCTTTAATAAATATACATGTATCTACTAGTCTAGTTTCTCAAAAGAGTATTGCAGCTCATACCTGCCTACTTATTAAGTTTTGCATTTGAATAAATATTTAGACATGATTAAACACTAGGTTTTTTAAATGTGAAATTTAAAAAGTTACTACATTAAATCCTTTTTTAATTTTTAATGATACTCGTATAAGTGCACACAAGTGAATATTAATGAAAACAGGCAAATACTGAATTTAACCCATTTTTGACATTTCTGATCCTAAAAATGCAAAAGCAGTCATTTTAACAGCACAATGTCATTTGATTTCTGTATTAGAAGTAACAAAATGCTCTGCTCAATACTCACCCGTTATCCTGCTGTTTATTACTCAACATCTGCCATTAAAGATCATTGCATTCAGTACAATCTACAGTCCCCTTCTGATCCGCGACACAGAGCTGCCAACCTAACATAATAATGCTGCCATGTTTCTGAAGTCATTTTACCCTCCTGTAATTTGGCTCTGAAGCTCAGGTGAAAATCGTCATTTTCACCCCATTTCACAAAATAGTGGGTTACTCAGTAAATCTACATTCATTGTCTTTCTTCAGAAAAAATATCAACAAAATAAAAAAATTCTAGTTTCTAAAATTTGGTTGATTTGTTGAGATTCAGATGAAGCTACATTGTATTTAGGTAATTAAGAGATTTAAATATTGGTCAGTTTTGAGAGTAGTCGTAGCGAGTGTAAGCAATTCTCAAAAAGTATGAATGAAAATGCGACACAGGCAAAACATCTGAAATCAATCTGCGAGTCCACAGGCCTTTTAAAGTGAAAAGTGAAAGTAAAGCTGACTGTTTCTCACCTGAACACATTCAGAATGATCTGTTCACAACATCAGACTCCATCAGGATCACCGACACCTGATTCCTGAAGAATACAGAATGAATCCATACCTCACTAATGACACATGACTTACTGATGAACACGTGTGTGTTTAGAGTCATCTGAGGAAAGAATCCAGAACAACTGCAGCGTCTGACCTGCTTTTACACACAGACTGTATATAGGTGACGTGAGGACACGGCGCAGCAGCACAACAGCGTCTGACCTGGATTTCACAGAGTCTCAGTGTCTGCTCTGAGTTTGAGTTCACATCAGTCTGTCTGTGAAGAAGCCAGAAACAAATTCACCTTTAAACACTCTTCAACAAACAGATCCACACACACACACACACACACACACACACACACAGAAGCAATCACAGGTCACAGAAACATGCGCTAGGACTAGGATCAGCACCAGCGTCATTCTCAGCAAACAGTGATATTCACTACTGCTGTGCTTATATGACTGATTTTCATTATTTCATAGGAAAGCGTTATTGATGAACTATCAAGAATCATTTTCACAGCCAACAACACAAGGCCAGTCTAACATCACTGATTAAAACACGGTTGGTGTTCCTGGTCAGAAAACAGCAGCCTTTTAAATATTGCTTGTAAATCTCTCATTACGCTATATTATCACCAAATCTTGGATTCAGTTTTTTTTGTCAGCTTGTTTCATTTCATTTAGCAGAGGTATTGTGTTTCTTTTTGGAACTAATTAATCATAGGCAATATTTCATTAAAAAACTAAATATTTTTGACAATGAAAAAAGTATTATTTGTGGATAATTGACAATATTCAGTTTTTAATGAAAAAAAAATCATTTGTGAATCATTTTGGCAATATTCAGTTTTTGAGTGAAAGTAGCTATATTTGAGGTGCATAAGCTCAGATCAATGACTATACGATCAATCAAAAGAAACACAAAACCAGTGCTGACTGAAAGAAAACAAGCCGACGAAAAGATTGACTCCAAGATACGGTGATAATACAGCAAAATGAGTATGAATTTTGTAGGCCGGTCATTTTTGACTAGAACCACCACAAGTGTAACGGGGGGGATCAAAATGTTTTTGGGAAGGGTTTTTGTTCCACCCTCTGTGAGCAAAGTCAGTAGGTTTTAGTCCAATGCGATAACATGAACTAAATCGTCTCTGGGTGAACATGAAAACAAGCTCACCTTACAGCCCTGCACTTCTGTGTTGCACAATAGGTCAAAATACCAGTGATTCTCATCACAGAGAAGCTGATTTTTACCTTTAAAGACCGTCTTACTGTGATTAGTCAGCAATGGCACACAAAACTGAGCTGAAGCACTGCACTACCCACAATCCTCCAGCCAGTGAAGAATATGCCCTCTCCGAAGAACACAGATCATGCGTTTGTTCAACATTATGAAACACATATTACATAATCTTCTGTATTTGTGATGTAACGTGAAATCTTATGTGCGTCTCAGCCCTCCGTCGTGACCCAAATCTGCCTGAGAGCAAAAACAATCAACAGGAAGGATTAAAGTGCTAGTTAACTCAAATTTCTAAATGTGGGGGGTTTTTATGCCACATCAGTTATGAATTTAGTTTGTTTTCAATACAGAAACATCAGACAGAAATATATATAATAATAAATATCTGCGAGACATTTCGGTCGCTCAGATTCATCACGATCCACTATTATGAGACTGAAGTGAATCTATGGAACAAAACGAAGGCAAAGAAGCTACATATGCACAATTGTACAGCAATGAAATCTCAAACAAACACCATAAAACTGACTGCGTTTTATTGGATTCCAGCGGCGGTCTGTGTGTGAAGAGAGCGTTAGCATTGATGCAGATACACTACAGCAGAGAAACAGTTCATTACGAGTGAGCGTTTGAGTCCAAGATGACTGTGTGTAGTCTAAGATTACAAACAAACCAGTTTAAACATCAGCGCTGACGTGTGTGTGTGAGAGAGTGTGTGTGTTATAGTGTGTGTGTGTGTGTGAGTGTTATAGTGTGTGAGAGAAAGTGTGTGTGTGTGAGAGAATGTGAGTGTGTGTGAGAGTGTGTGTGTGTGTGTGTGTGAGTGAGAGTGTGTGTGTGTGTCTGAGTGTCTGTGTGTCTGTGTGTCTGTGTGTGTGTGTGTGTGTGTGTGTGTGTGTGTGTGTGTGTGTGTGTGTCTGTGTCTCTGTGTGTGTGTGTGAGTGAGAGTGTGTGTGTGTGTCTGTGAGTGTCTGTGTCTGTGTGTGTCTGTGTCTCTGTGTGTGTGAGTGAGTGAGTGAGTGAGTGAGTGAGTGAGTGAGTGAGTGAGTGAGTGAGTGAGTGAGTGAGTGAGTGAGTGAGTGAGTGAGTGAGTGAGTGAGTGAGTGAGTGAGTGAGTGAGTGAGTGAGTGAGTGAGTGAGTGAGTGAGTGAGTGAGTGAGTGAGTGAGTGAGTGAGTGAGTGTGTGTGTGTCTGTGTTAATCATGACTCCATCTGTGAGCACATTCAGCAGTGTTTTCTGTCAATAAAGTGTCCCGTCTGTAGCAGAAGAATCATATTTTGGGCTGTTGCATGTCATGTGTCCAGAGAATATTTCAGCACCTCGTGGTTTCTGGCATCTCCTTCCACAGACGGTTAGGAAATGTCCACTAAACAACAGCCAAAACTTGTTCCCATTATAAAATGTAACAAAATATGCCATAAAAATGTACAGATCTGCAGACAATCTTAAGTAACGGTATGTTTGCAAGTGCAGATGCGCAGTGACTCCAGCGCACATAAGTTTTCAGTGCGTTCTGCATCCAAAACATACATACAACACTCACACAACTCTACAACATTCCCACAATGCTCCAGTCTAATGTCTGTGTGTCCGTGTGAACGGAGAACGAGAGCAGAAGTAACATCAGTGGTTCCTAAAGCGCTTCGATGAATGACAGAGTCAAGCAGCTTCTCACCTGAGGAGGGAAAATCACAAACAGGTCAGGCAACAAATCCACATATATGTACATTTAATACAAGCTGTCACACACATTTCATCTAGAAAAGTCTTTGATGTCGCCTCACCATCACATTCAATGACACACAAAGGAATGGTTTAAAATTCATTCAAATAGTACACGATATCCAAATATTAAATAATAACAATTAAATCTCCCACTGAAGATTGACCTCCGGTCATTGTTTTCCATTATTATTATTGTTTTATTCAAAAGAATGTTACAGGGTCAATACAAGTTAAGCCCCATCAGCATAATTTGGGAAATAATGTCGACTACCACAGAAAATAATTTAAACACTGTTTCAAAAATATAGCCTTATAAGACTGAAACGTTATATACTTGCTCTCCTAGTATGTGTAAAGTTAGACTGTGATCTCTGAATCTGTCCTGACCATGTACAGTAACAGGTAAAATTCTAGCATGATACTTTACACAGTAACACTCGTGTACTCATTACATGTCATACCAAACCTGTATGACTTTCTTCTGTGAAATGTATATGAAGTGTAATTTAATTATTTAGTTTGGCTCATGTCCCATTCGTTTACATGGAGAGGATGACCTATGCTGCAGCCAGCCACAAGATGGCGATCGAAATATTTTGGCTTCACTTTTCAGGACGTAGGAGGCACACTTGTTTTAAACTCTAAAACCTGAATTGTATTTTTAACATGACTGAGGTTTCAGAGTTTTTGCCAAAGATTCATGACCACAACAGCATGTGCAACACTGTTCTGTTCATCCTTAAACGTACCTTCCGTCTTCTAATCTGCGTCTGAGAGCAGCTCACATGAGTTTCCTCCATGGTCCTCTCTGCCCTCGCCAATCGGCTGCCCGTTGCTCCCCATGTGCTGACCGAGCATGTTACTGAACCAGTTTTCGAATTCTGGGCTGCTGGGTTTGGTGTTCTCTTCTCTCAGTGGTCGTTTTGTTGCGTCTGCATCCCGGCAGCTGTTCTGCTCTCCAAACAGCTCCTTCTGATTTAGGATGCGGCTCTGCTGAGCTAGCCGACTATCTCTGAACCAGTGGACAAGTTCTGTGCGAGCTAACCGCGCCTGCATCTCCAGATGCCTGAACTCTACAGGCGAAGGCCATCGGTTCTGGACAAAAACATTTTTGAGAAGGTTCACGGTCTTGCTGACTTGAGGCACAGGGCTGTAGGTAAGGGTGCCAGAACGTCTCTGAGCTCCATTGAGGAGAGTCTGCTGGGACTCCCGTTTAGAGCCCATGGAGT